AGGACCAACTCCTGCTGACTCAAGAACCTTCTTTCCAGGGAGATGCTGGGGATTCCCTTTGCAAAATAGATTTCGTCATAAAGGTGAAAAAAGAGAGCAAAGTGGTCCAGGGGGCTGAGAAGGGAAGCAGAGAGGAGCGGGCGTTTGGTGTTTGTGAGAACAGAACAGGGATCTTTGGGCAACTTTGCAGGTGGTCTCAAAAGAAGGCTTGCTGCTAGTCAGATGGCTGCTTCCAAGCACAGGAGCCAGGCCAGGAGAGAGCAGTTGGCAACCCAGCCTCCAGAACCGCTGCTTAGCCCTGGGAAAACTCAAGACTTGTTTTCCTTCAAAACCGGGTGATTGCTCTTCTGGATCCCACAGCCTGGGTTGTTGACGTGGTTGTTGCAGCAATGTGGTTCTGACCCAGCCCAGGGCTACTGGTCATTTGCGCTCTGGACTGGGTTGGTGCGAGGACCATCTTGAGGTCCCTCCTGCCTGCGGCTCTTGGTTGGGCAAGCTTTTAACTTCAACTGACCTCTCCAGCACCAGCGCATCACGGCACTGCGAAGGATAGTGTGTTCAGAGTGAGTGGCCAGGAGGGTTGGTGGCCTTCTGGGTGGTCGAAGGCACACTGTTTATTGAATGCTTATTTATTTATTGAAAAAAATATCCATGTGTCATCAAGACCATGCTGTTTAGACCTGTATAGTTCAAGGGAGAAGCACCTATCATTTCCACTACTGGGGGCCGTTTGAATTACTGGAGAGCAGTAATGGGAGCGTGCTAGAGAAGCCTTTGTCCTATTCTTTGCCCTCTTGCTGGGACGTCTGTTTGGCCCCTGTGCAAACAGGCAGGCCTTTATTCTGACCTTAGATTCTTACACCATTAATTCACACATTCAGTATCCAGCTATTGCATATTTAGTGATTCCACCATGACAGAGAGAGCCCTCTTATTCCAGCTCAAAAGTTAACTAAAACCACCGGGCGTTCCCCAAAAGCCAAAGACAGAGGGGAGAAACCTCAGAATGTCAGATGAATATACTTTATTCTATGAAACTCAATGCGTTTTAGTCCTTTTATTAGTTTTAGGGCTTTAGTGGAGTTTAAATCCAGTATGACATGTGCAACAAATGACCAAGGATCCCAAACTCTTCCGACAGCAGACTGAAACATGGGGATTCATAGCATATTTATTTGGTGTTCTTAGATTTCTTATTATTGGTTAGGCTGTTTGTCCCTCTTGCTCATTATTGAAAGCTGCTCTCCAGGGTCTCAAAAGACATTCACAGCACCTGATACCTCACCCTTCTATAATTTGTACAATTATAATCCTAGTTTTTAAATGGGGAGCCTTTGTATATTGAACCTGGGACATTATTTGCCAAAGCACATGCTCTGCCACTGATGTGCAAACTGACTCCCATATGGCCAGATTCATAAGGATCCTGCAGTACTTCCTACATCTGGGCTGCTGAATGTGGGGTTCTTCAGAAGTTGTTGGGACTTCAACTTCCATCTGCCCTAAATAGCGTAGCCAGCAAAGGAAGCTAGAGATTCCACTCCCAACAATATTTGAAGAGCTGTACACGTCCCAAGTCCTGTGTTACCCGAAAGTGCTTTCCATAGACTTAAATACGGAGGCAGTGGCCAACGTCCTGTTCGGTAAATTATATTTGCATAAGGTTGATGACATCACCAGCGGGGGGGATTGCTGGTAATGAAAGTTTCTCATTTGGTCCTGGAGCCTGCCCGACTCACACACAATGAGACTGATTACAAATGACTCATAAGAGCTCCAGAACCTAAAGCTTTGGTAACTATTGAGAGACTGGGACCTTTTTTCCCTCCATTACGTATGCTGCCCCTTCCAGTAATAATTCAAAGTAATTATTGGTTTCTAAAAAGTTGTTGGCACTACAGCAAGGTGTGGTCCACACATCTTTCTAATGAGAAAAAAAAATAGCAACCTCTAGGAGCGTCCAGAGGCATGAACCTTCCATTTTTATTATTTCGCGGTGGGGACTCTGTGGTTCCAAAAATAGCCTTTGGGTTCACATACACCCCACGAGCGACTTCTAAATAAAGCCCTGCATCTCTGATTCCATTTGTGTGCTCATTTTAAAAACAGATACAAGTTTTGAATGAGCAAGCATTTTTTATTTAATTGACAGCTCTTCACAAAAGTGGATTTAAGTTTCACCCTCCCCAGTCTTTTTGAGTCATCTGCGTACAGCGGGTACTGCAGTGTGATTAGAGGCTATCATGTTAGTCTGGGATGAGGAGACACACATTCAGTCAGTTTATTGTTACGTTCCTTAGACCAATCATAGGCGATGCAGGTTGTGGTCTCTACTGAGTAGAAGTAAACTCACTGGCTGAAATCCTGTTGGCACACTTTCTGTAACAAAAAACTTATATAACATGTCATTGATTGCAAGGATTTTTTTTTAATTAAACATTTTTAACTTGGCCAAAGTTCCCAAGGCTTCTGTGTAGTCCCTTTTATTCTAAGGAAGCTGTGAGAGCTATGGGACAGAAAAAGGAAGTCTTTAATTCTCAAAAATCACTAACACTGGGAGGACTTTACTACTGGCAGCAATTTTTGGTAATAAAAGACTTCCTTTTTCTGCCCCATGGCTCTCACAGCTTCTTTCAGTCTCCATGACTTCCTGACAATGAAAAGGGATTACATGGGAGCCTCATGAGCTTTGGAAGATTAATCAGAAATGTTAAATTCCCACAAATCATTGCTCCTACTGACACCAACAAGATTTCAGCTACTGTGTGACCTTGGTTCATAACGTTCCAAACCACCTGAAAGGTTAATTGACCAGCAGACGGGACAACCATGCACACTAGCTTTATCTCATTGGAGAAAAGGCTGAATATAAATTTAATTAATAAACCAATAACAAATGCACAGCCCTGACTTGCCATCTGTTGCTATTATCATGGTGCTTCAGCCAGGCAAAAAGGGACCCGAGAAGTTGTAAGCACCACCACACTGACTAAAAATCAGTGTGGCAACCTACATAATGGCACTAAGCACTTTATGTTACGTACAATGCAAAATAAAACAATTCTACTGACATTCATGACTTGATTGGGTTTTAGAAGGAGTTGGTATGCCCCTTATCTCCATTTATGCCTCACGGGGTACAACAGGAATCATTGAGTTGAAAGAGGCCCACAGAGTCCAACTCCTTGCTGAATGAAGGAATCCAAATCAAAGCTGATCTGAGATCGTTTCCCAATTTTCTCTTGAATGCCTCCAGTGTTGGCAATTAGATCTATTGTCGCACTGCTCTAACAATTAAGAAGTTTTTCCAGCTTCTTGCAGTTTGAGCCCATTATTATGTATCCCGCACTCCTGCTCTAACAGTTAAAAAGTTTTTCCAGATATTCAGTCTAAATTTGGCTTCCTGCAGTTTGAGCCCATTATTATATGTCCCGCACTCTGGGATGATCGAGAACAGATTCTGCCCCTCCTCTGTATGACGGCCTTTCAAGGTAATTCACTTAATTTTCCCCGCACCACCTAATTTATTTTGCACAGGGCTGCAAATGCTGATTCCGTAAGGCTGATGTCTACCTCCCACTGCTCTCTCTCTGTATGTATGCATGTACATGTGTACACACACGCACAACACAGGCACAAAGAGGAGTACCTCCCACTGCTCTCTCTCTGTATGTATATGTGTGTGTTTGCATGTGCACGCACGCACACACACACCGTAACACAGGCATAAATACGAAGAAAGCCCTTCTAAAACTGGAGGACCACTTTTTTTACAGATCCCTATTACTCAAGTCAGGACAGTGTTAAAAAACAATTGCTCCATCAAGGGAAGTAGAGTTGTGGAACTACTATAACATGATGCAATTAAGGGTATTGCAAAATTGATCCTGTTCCTGCTCGTCAGAGGCAAAAGGGAGGCAGTTAAATCTATAGACCAGCCTTACCTGGCGACCACTGAAAACCTCGGTCAGCCTTGACCAGCCTTCTGAAACTTGGAAAACAAACCAGATATTCTCAAGATGCTGACCTGCACTCTGTACCTGGTTTTGTATATCCTAACACAAACGAATGGCAACAGCTACCAGTAACTCACATTAAGCGAACATTCACCTTTTTCTGACATTCCTCAAACCTTGGGCAAAACCCCATGTTTTTCCCTGGGGCAGGTGGTCTGCATGGGTTGGAGTGCAGCTCCCATAATGTTCCAGCTGTGCTGGTTGGGACAGAGATTAGAAAAGGTACTTTTTTTAACCACTGACTCCAAATTCTACTAGCCACTTTGGTTATGGCCTGGGGCCTTCTGGCAGATTATGGTCCAAAAAAGGTTAGAGGAGACCCAAGTAAAACTTCACACCAGGTGGGCGAGGCTGTAAGCGTTCTACATACATTTAAAATCAGAAATCAGAATACCTGTATGCCTCGCTACTAGCCACTTCGGTTATGGCCTGGGGTCTTCTGGCAGATTATGGTCCAAAAAAGGTTAGAGGAGACCCAAGTAAAACTTCACACCAGGTGGGCGAGGCTGTAAGCGTTCTACATATATTTAAAATCAGAATACCTGTATGCCTCTCCACTTCTTCTTAAGAATGCCAGTGCTATTTATAATACCAAGGAGAAGGGAAGGAAATGGAAGCACTCGTAGGGATACCAAACACACTCCTCTTAACTGAAGGAAGGATTAAAAAAACACACAAAAACCTACAAGATACTTTTTGGAAGTGTACATTTTTTATTACTTGTTTCTCATTTGCTGCTGGCTGGGGTTGGAGAATTTTAAACTAGAGATGGGATATTTCTATTTGTCTCTCCTCAACGATCCTGCTATGGAGAGTTCATCAGTACGGCAAATGCCGCCTGGGTGCTGACCCTCCTCTCTTGAGGCATCGCCAAACCTGGTGTGTGTGTGTTTTTACAGAATGGCCATTCCCTTTCAGCATTAACTGTATGGTGGAGAGTAGGCCGTCCTCTTGATTTGCCCTAAAGGAGATGCTGCTGGCTGGGGTTGGAGAATTTTAAAGAGATGGGATATTCCTATTTGTCTCTCTGGGGGACAAATACGAACATGGACACCACCAATGGCCCTTTGGACCCAACCCCGAGAACCCGCTGGTCCCCTTACTCCTTGCAGCGCGGGGGCACACAGCCATCCTGCCTCCAGGACTGTTGAAGTGTGAACGCCCACGGCTGTGCACACTGCGAGTGTGAAGTGGACCGGCCATTTCTGGAGGGTGGGTCCAAAGGGCCTGACCGCGCGTGGTGACGATATTGGTCATTTGTTTCCCTCTATTTTAAATTAAAAAGGGGCTAAGGGTGAGGAAATGCCCTAGAGGGAGAAGACTTCCTTATAGTAAATCTTCCCTCAACGGTCCTGCTATAGAGAGTTCATCGTTACGGAAAATGTCGCCCAGGAGCTGACCCTCCTCTCTGAGGCATCTCCAAAACTGGGGTATGTGTGTGTGTTTTTACAGAATGTAAAAAATCCCTTTCAGGATTAACTGCATGGTGGGGAGTAGGCCATCCTCTTGATTTGCCCTAAAGGAGGAAGCTGCCCCCAGAAACCACCCGAGTTTAAAACCTAGCCTGGAATTAAAAGTACTTGTCTATAAATCTGGTACTTTTGCACTCATTCCTTCCATGGGACTTGCAGTGAGAAATCCCGCATGCCCGGAAGGGATACTCTTTGCCTTCACCCCTTCCACCCAAGTCTAAAGAGGAAATGTCTAAAAGGGCAATCAAGCCTGTTTTCTCTTGCTCAAAAAAACAAACCAACCAGCAAACCTGGAGATCTGAAGTTGGTGGGAAGGCTTGAGAGGACCCCAAGTCCTTTCTAACCACCATCATCCCCTTGCAACTTTGAGACACTCAGAAAAGGAAACCAACAGCAGAGAATGAAAACAGCTTTAGAACAGCTTCCCCCAGTACCCTCTGCAGGTATGGAGACTACTTTCCCTAAGCAACGTCACCAGAGAATATCCAGCGGATTAGTTTGAGGCAGAAGGCCTTAACAAGACCCCAGGCTGGCTCAGGTAGACTTTCTTTATCTGATGTTTTGGGATACCATTTCCAGCATGCCTACCTATTTTTATGGCTATGCTGTCTGGGAGTAGAGGTTCAAAACATCTGGAAGGCATGAGATGTGTGTGCATGGGGAGGCTGAGTTAAGGAGCAGGGCCCATAACAACACAGCCAGAGTAGACCTAGGTCTACCTGGCCTTCTTCTTCTTTTTCTTCTTCTTCTCTGAAATGCTGCGAAGCTGATGCTTCTGGGGAGAGACAGTCAGCTCCAAATCTGGTTTCTCCCCTGTGTCATTTCTCTGATCCACCTTAGGGGGCAGGTTGGCATCCTCAGCACTGATGGGGCGGATGATGTGACCAGGATGTGTGATTACAGAGGGAGCTGTCAGCTTCTGAAAAGCACGCCGGGTGTTCCAAGTGGAACCCACAGGTGCATGGAGGCTGCGTTCAAACTGCTGGGTGTTCTCAAAGGGGAAAGGGAGGTGGTTGACCTACAAGGAAGAGAAGATTCACTGTCAAACCAAAAGCAAGAAGGTAAAGGTTTCCCTTGAAAACTTGTCTGATCAAATTTGACTCTAGGGCATGGTGCTCATCCCTGTTTCCAAGCCATAGAGCTAGCATTTGTCTGAAGAGTTTTCGTGGTGACATGGTCAGCGCGACTAGATACAGAACGCTGTGACCTTCCCACCAAGGTGGTGCCTATTTATTTACTCGCATTTTTACATGCTTTCGAACTGCTAGGTTGGCAGGAGCTCGGACAAGCCACGGGAACTCATTCCGTCTCGTGGATTCGATCTTACGGCTGCTGGTCTTCTGACCTTGCAGCACAGAGGCTTCTGTGGTTTAACCTGCAGCGCCACCACGTCCTGTTATGCAAGAGGACCACAAAAAGGAAGAGGACCACAAAAAGCCCTCTGACAGCTTTTCTCCTACATAGGTCACGATCACTTAAGAGTGAGATGCTTCCTGGGCACAAGGAGGCAAACTGCTCGGTTCTACTACTACTCAGTTTCAAAAGTTCAGGGAAGGCAAAAACCATCATCAGAAAAAGCTAAAATGAGAAAAAACATATAGTACAGGATGGGAAAGAAGGTTCTTGGATGTGAAGCTCTGAAGGAAGGGAGCATTTTAAATACTTAATTCTAGGAAATGCACCTTGTTTTGAGAATTTGAACATCTGTAAGGCTTACAGCTGCTCTAGGGAAATAAAGAGTACACAAGATTATATTTACACTTTAAAATGCAAATGACTGAAATGCATGTGATTTAAAAATGGATTTAGTCAGTGGGAGATAGGTACCAATGAGATAAAATGTGTAAATAAATGTGCACATTAGGAAAAACCACATGTAACATGTATGGATTTCAATGTGGGAATGAAGAAAACCAAGTCTCACAACCCAGTAAGAAACAAGGACGCGAATGGGATTCAAAGACGGGCAACAAAATCAAGGCTGAGACATTTTTACACCCCTGCTCTGGATGTAAGAGTCCTACAACATCCAAAATGATAGCAAAAGGCATAAGATTAGAACAAGCTTCTCTCTCTCTCTCTCTCTCTCTTTTCCTTTTTGGTAAATATGGTTGTCAGGCTGGATGGCAGAAATTTTGCTTTTTGTGACTGAACGGACAACCTAGTGCACAGGATTCTGGAAACAGTGCACATTTAACACTTCCTTGAAGGTCAGCGCGGAATTGCTCTCGTTTCAAAAGCCTGCTGCCTGCTGGGAAGGACAGCCAGCCGCCAGTTCCAGAGGTGGAGCGCTCTCTACTAGGAGAAAAGCCTGAACACAGCATGAATGCCCCCCCTGTTGTTTTTATAGGAGAGTGATACAACTAACCAGACAAGCAAGAGGAGCATAAAAATAAACCTACACCATGTTATAATTAAAGCTTCATTAAGTAAGGTAAAGGTAAAGGTTCCCCTTGACATTTAGTCCAGTCGTGTCTGATTCTAGGGTGCGGTGCTCATCCCCATCTCCAAGCCATAGAGCCAGCATTTGTCCAAACACAATCTTTCATGGTCACATGGCCAGTGCGACTAGACACGGAACGCCATGACCTTCCCACCAAGGTGGTACCTATTTATCTACTCGCATTTTTACATGCTTTCGAACTGCTAGGTTGGCGGGAGCTGGGACAAGCGACAGGAGCTCACTCCGTTGCGTGGATTCGATCTTACGACGGCTGGTCTTCTGACCTTGCAGCACAGAGGCTTCTGCGGTTTAACCCGCAGTGCCACCACGGCCCTGTCGTCATTATGTAGCACACAGCAAATAAAGGGACAATGACATTTCAGGGGAAGAAAAATGAACGTATGTGTTGAATGAGTGACATAAAAAAGAGGGATTGGGTGGATCTTAGAACTATAAATGTAACTAATTTATTAAATTTGTATCTTTGGTTTTTGTATTTTGTTTAAACCGCCCAGAGTAGACATGTTCTAGATGGGAGGCATGTAAGTATAAACAAACAAACAAACAAACAAACAAACAAATAAAATGCCTGCTGGGGCCTCTGAGAAAGAAACCCAAAACAAACGAAGGGTCAAAGACTCCCTTTCGCTGTCATAAGTTCACAGGAATGCCCTTTGCACCATGTCCATTTAACACAGCATTACCAATTTTACAACTCTTCTCGTCATAGGGTCCTTTCAAATAGAACTACCTCCCGGCACTACGCATTTGGGATCTTCTGAAACTAAACTAGGGACTCAATGCCACAGATGAGTTTCCTCCCCCATGATAATTTAAACCCAGAGGTCTTTGGGTGAAGAGCAGAGGCTCCTGGCTCAGAGGAACATTCTCACCTGATGAGCTGCAGCTAAAATATTGCGCTGTTCACTCAGGATCACATGCGGCAGATGTTTGTCCTTCCTTGGCGGTGTGGGTGCCGGCTTGAGAAGGAACCTAAAGGAAGAGAAAAAGGAAAAGGACACAGAAGATCAGCAACAGGGTGGGGACAGTGAGGGGAGAGAGCCTCGCCCACAGACGTACCTCTTCTTCTTCTTCATGCTTGGCCTCAGCCCTGTGCCTCCCCACTCGCCCCATCCTGGGAGGACGAGATCGACAGCCTTGGGTTTACCGGCCTCTTCCGCCCGGTGCTTCTCTTTCATGAAGTCCGCCACAACGTTGTCGGTGGCAAAGGCTTCCTGGATGACCTGTCGTTGGTCGGTGCCTGTCTCCAGCTGTAGGGAACAGGATCAGGGGAGGGTCATTCAGAGAAGCAAGAAAACGGAGAGGCCCTTCCGACCAAAAGGGGAATGAGCTTGCAAGGCGGACAACTTGGCTATGCTTTTGATGCTTCCCTACTGATCAATCGATTTACATGTTTTATCACTCCCAAATCCTGGCAGAGCCGCTACTCTGAAATAATGGAACAGAATAATAAAAAAAATCAGTGGAAATACAAATGAGGCACCATACAGAATACAGTGGCGCCTCGCAAGACGAATTTAATTCGTTCCACGGTTAATGGTGTCTTTGCGAAAAATTTGTCTTGCGAAATGCGTTTTCCATAGGAATGCATTGAAATCCAATTAATGCATTCCTATGGGAAAAAAAGTCAGAACGAAGTCAAATTTGGTTTACAAAGGGTTTATTAAGTGCTCTTTAAAGCCATACATATTGTGCAGATGATTTAAAACATTTCAATAAAAATCTTTAACTTTTTAAACATCACAGAAAAATATTTCAAAAATCAGCAAACATGTGGCAGGAACAAAAAACGGAAAACATTCGTCTTGCGAAGCACAGCCATAGGAACATCTGTCTTGCAAGTCATCAACCCCCATTGCCAAAACCATTTGTCTTGCGAGGCACCACTGTACATTACCTTTCTATATCATCTTACAAGCAAATGTTTGAAAGAAAATAAGAACAGTCTTTCAAAATATTAATGAAAAGTCCTGGTAGTGTCTTGGCTAGCATAACAAAGTAGGGCTCGGGAGAGATGGGTTTCAGTCCTGGGAGTGGGTGGTGTGCTATTATATAAAATAAATGTTGTTGTGGTATTGTTCAGATGTAACACTTCACTTTCTCATTATTCAAAAGTACTAAAAAGAAATGTTATTTTCCAAAAACACCAGAATGTTATGTGCTGTCGCCCAATAGTATAAATGGATTTAAATAATGAGACCTCGTGGCACAGTGGTTAAACTGCTGTACTGCAGCCAAAACTGTGCTCATGACCTGGGGTTCAATCCCAGGTAGCTGGCTTGAGGTGCACTCAGCCTTCCATCCTTCTGAGGTCAGTCAAATGAGCACCCAGCTTGCTGGGGGGGGGGCAATGTGTAGCCTGCATAATTAACTTGTAAACCACCCAGAGACCGCTTTAAGCACTATGGGTGGTATGTAAGGAGCACACTTTCCTTTGATTATAAAAGCAAATTAAAAATAATTACATTATAGAAGAAATGAAGTGATCCCTCATTATGTTTTATTCATAACACAGCTTAATAATGCTTTGTATTATTGGAAAAATAAAGAATTGAATACATGTACCAAACTCTGTAAATGCCTCCATCTAGGAATGTGATTTCCCCCACTTCTCCAAACACATGGGTGAAGGGAGAAAACTGAAAACTTGGGGGAACATGGATCGGAATACACGGAACTGTGATTTGTTCTAGCTATGACCAAGGAGAGCAAATGTTTAGCAAATCATGGTCAATTTCCACAACTGGAAGGAACCACCGTTCTTCAAGTTTAGAGACAGCAAAGCACCCTGGTTAAAAGCACAGGCAGAACGTTTCATGAGGATTTGGACGACCTCAGCCTAGCCTTCTTCAGGAAATTCTAGGCCTTTTTCCTCCCCCGGGGGAGTCTGCTTCCCACAGGTGTGGGTTCCAAGCCTCCCCCCTTGCCCGTAGATCAAAATGGTACAGTCCAAAGAAAGATGCACTACTGTGGACTCTCTCACGAGCCGCCACCTCTCCTCGTGGTCCTTCCCCCTCCTGATCTCACCTCATCCTGTACAGCAGTCGGCACCAGCGGGCACTGCGGGGACGGAGGCACCTCCGCCAGGACGGCCTTCAAGTCAATCAGGGCCTTGCGCTTGGCGCTCTTTTTGCCGGGGGTCGGTGACAGGGGCCCCTCCATCTGCGGTGGCGGCTCGGCTTTCTCAGGCCGACACAGTTTGGGCTCCTGGACCGGGGGCTCTTCGTCTTCTGCGTGGGAGACGTCCTCTGACACCAGAGCGTCCACATCCTCCAAAGTGCGAAGGCGCTCTAACCTCTCCTGCAGGAAGGGTCCCTCTGATACAGGAGATGGAGGTGCTGGTCCAGACGCAGGACGCCCTATGGGCACCCTTGGCTCTCCACTGGGACCTGCAGCAAGATTCACACAGTGACGATCACAAAAGAATGCAAAGTTTGCTCTGTGGATCGGGAACAGCAAAACAGTAGCCCAAATCCGAAGGTATCTTTGGGGACAATTAAGACAAATGCGTTCTAGCGCACATGATTTCAAATTCTCCAAAAGTGTCCCTTAGGCGGCACGGAAAAGAACAGGACAGGGACAGGGGGAAATCACAGAAGTCCAAACGTCTGACTAGCTATTTTAGCCATGAGATTTACAATTACAACTCCGTTTTGGAGACCGAGCTAAAATATTTACTAAATAGCTCCCACGCTTCTCACTCACACCAGTTCCTATTTTGTTTACTATCTAACCCAAAGAAGGGCTCTTGAAACTCAAAAAAGCTTACACTCTGTTTTGGAAACATCCCCAAATGGTTAACATCTACTTGTGGAGAATTAAACCTGCCTGAGGAGAATCCTGAAAAAAGGCTACCAAAGGCCCATTTAGGCTAGCATCTGGCTTCCAACCATGTAGAAGTCGATGACCCGGGGCACCCTTGAGTAGGACATGGAGGCAACATTCTACTCCCATGGTGGCTTGGCAGTCGGGAGCCAGAGACCCACTGCCTCTAAGCCTGGAGGCTTCCAGGCCAGCCCCCATCAACATCTCGCCCCTTTCTCAATGAACCTGCTTAATCCCCTTTTAAATTATCAAGGTCTGTGACCACCACCACCACGTTATACGGCAGCAAATCCCACAGATTATATGTGTCATACGAAGGACCTTCTCTCCTCTGTCCTGAGTCAGCTGTCATTGGGTGCCCCCGAAATCTAATGGTAGGAAAGAAAAAAAAATCTGCACCCATTTTCTCCACAGTTGGTGTAATCGGCCAGCGGTCTGCCAGATACGCCACTTCACAACTCCCTCATTCTGCTGTCTTGGCTTGAAGGAGATGGGAGGTGAACCTCAACACATCTATCTTGGGGGAAGCTAAATAAGTCATATGTTTTTTTTGACTGGTGTACAATTTACTTCATTTTAATTGGCAACATTTTGACTTTTTCTTTTTTCTACCCCCCTCCGGCTGCTAATTTCGATTATCTGTTTAAAGCTTATTAGCCAATGGGGCATTTAAAAAAAAAACATTTTTACTGTTCTTATCACGTTTAAAGCTTATTAGCCAATGGGGCATTATAAAAAAACATTTTTTACTGTTCTTATCGGTGGCATTATTTTTTCATACGCTTAATGAAATTCAATCCTATCGTTTTCATTGCTTCACAAACGTGTATATTGACATTTAGATGTTTACATGGCTTTTACTGTTGCACTTGTATGTGGATACCTTGTTACTCGGGTGAGCCACTTGAAAAATATTTGGAAATGGGGTGTATACACAAAGACACTGATAACACAGATGTCATGCTTAAAAAAAAACAACAACTCGACAACCTGAAATGTCTACAGTTCTGGGATAGCTGACCCGTTGGAGGCGTTCTTGGAAGACATTGCTAGGCTGTATCCATTTCAACTGAGGTTTCGGCCACAACATGGTGCTGAACAGCCCTGGGTGTCTTGCAAAGGGATCTCCAAAGGGAAGCAACTCTCCCGATCCTCTTGGATCTTCCTGCAGCCTTAAGACAGTCAACCACAGCTCTCGGTTTTAGTGATTGGGGGCTTTGTGCTTAGTTGCTCAAGTCCCTTCTTGATGGCTGATCCCAGATGACACACCTTTGGATCTCTGTTATGAGGTCGCCATAAGTCAGAACTGACTTGGTGGTACCTTGAGCATCTTCCCAATGCTCTTTCACATCATTATGAAGTTGCTGGGAGAAGTCATAGGGAGATGTGGAGTTTGCTGTCACCAGTTTGGTGATGACACCGTCTCTCCTGGAAACCTCAGCAGGAGCAAAATACGGCAGCCAGATTGATTACTGGGACTAGAAAATTTGATAATGTATCCCCAGTCTTGGTGCACCTCCCTCTTAGTTTCCATGTTCTATTCAAGGTGTTGGTTATGACTTATAAAGCCCTTATATTTGACGGAACATCTCTCCCAGAAATGAGTTATCTGTCCCACCCACTTCTCTCAATCCATGTTGTTAAAAGATGCCACATTAAGGGAAGCCATGTTGTTAAAAGCTGCTACATTAAGGGAAGCCAAAAAAGGTGAATAGCTTATAATAATCGTCTGTCGTATTGCTGTACGATTTTTGAATTGTTTTTTTTTTGTTACTTTGGGGTACTGAGGGTTGCGAGTTTTAATTTTGTGTGAACTGCTCAGTTGCACTAATGGAATGATATATAAATCGTACAGATAAAGAAATATTTGAAGATGTACTTATGTAATGTCCTGAATCTTCTGGAATGTCAATTTCATAAAAAATTTCTCTATTATAAAATGGGATAAAATCAATTTTATTTGGTACCAATTATTTTTATTCTATTTGTTTTATGGCAACTCTTTCTCGTTATTAAGTTTTTAATTACTAGCCCATATATGATGGCATTTATCATTTAATATGCCTGCTTATAAATGAATTTTAAAATATAAAATATTTATACAAAATTCTGCAGAAGAGAAAAACAGCTCAGCAAACCTACATGCAAATCTGGATCATCTCTTTAATTTGCATTATTAATTCTGAAATTCATATTACTGTCATGCATCATATTCAAGGGATGATGCAGAAGACATAGAAAATCACACAGGTGAGATAAGTCTTCACGGATCTGACGCAAGCTGTTTTGTGCCATTCCCAAAAATTAACAGGCATCAATCACATGTATGTTCAAATTCATCTTCACAGCCGTAAGGTTTAGATATGTTTTCATTTGGCTATTAATTTTAAACCTGAAGATTTAATAGACAGGTGGTGATATTACGGTGCAATAAAATGACTAGATTATATTTCCTATATTGAAGTACCTCTAACAAATATTGGAAATGCAAATTAAAAGAAGGTAGTTTTAATCACATGTGGTGGACTTATAGGGAAGCTAAGCGCTTTTGGAAATGAGTCCATGAGTTTTTACAAAAAATGTTATCCTCTATAATTCCATATTAACCTGAACTGTTTTTGTTGAATATAATACCAGATTCGATAGAAAAAGAAAAAAGATACTTGATCATACATGTAACTACAGCAGCAAGAATTTTATATGCCTAATACTGGGGGAAAGGAGGAGACTCCAACAATCGAGTTGATAGAATTTTTTTGAATCAGCGGAAATGGCTATTTTAACTGAAGTATTAAAACACAAAGAGGTTGAGGCTAGAAAAAAGGGAGAACCTTTGTATAATTGGATGAGAGAGGAGAACATGAATGGGTTAAAATTACAAGAAATAAAATTTAAGATATCATTTTAAAATTTAAAGCCAAAAAATGATAAGTGTGAAATAAGCTTAGTAAGAAAACATACTGGCAAAAGTAATAATGATATATATTATTCTCTGTCACATTCTGTATTTTTTATTTACACCAGTACCCTGTTCCAAATCCCCTTTCCTATGATTTCCCCCTACCCAGTGGAAAATTAATAACAACAACAACAACAACAACAATAATAATAATAATAATAATTAATAATAATGTAATTATATTCCCCACCCTCATTCTTTTGAGTTTCTTTTCACTGGCCTAAATCTATTCTTTAAAAAAAATCTTTACCCCATACTGATGGCTGACGTTCCCTCTGATTTTCCGTCCTGCTGCGTGAGAGCCTCCCTCCGTGCGCACAGGGGTGGGAGGGGCTTCATTTGAAAAGAGAAGGAAAGAAACTGGCCGCCCATGCGCAGCCCTGGTGGAGCTCTGGGCGAATGCGTGCACGCACAACTTAGAGGGAACATTGCTGATGGCCATTCAGACAAATCTCAGAGGAATCTTCTCTATATTAGCATCGTAATTCTCAGAACTCAGAACAAAAAGCAGAACTTCTAGATGCAGTTAGGTGACACTGTCTACAATTTCAGAGCTTTGAATTTTTACTTAAAATTCTCCTTTTGATATACAGAAGTAGAAAGAGACTCACAGAGGAAAACAGCTTCAAGTTCCCCAGACAGTCCACCCCTTTTTTTTTAATAGCCGGTGGTTAAAGTCTCAGGAACTCACTCAGAGACATTAGTAATATAAAGTATAAAAATGTTTCATTACTCACAAAGAGCAAACAGCCAATAGACATCTGACAAACTGACTTCAGCAGATGAGAGGGAAAAAGAACACTCAGCAGAGAGGTAGGGTGCTCTCTGAATTCAGAGATGGGAAGGAATGCTTGGTTAGTGCTGGATAGATTGATAGGCACCCCAGCTCAGAAAGGTCCCTTCCAGCCAAACAAACTAGTCAGCATGCGAGGTTGTAAAAACTCCAGCACCTACTGCCTACACCCAGCCACCCAAGCTTACCTTGTGGCTGAACACGGTCTTGTAGATCCCGCCGGCGTTCAGCAAAACTTTGCAGCAACGCTTCCTCCTCCGTCACGGCTGGTCCATCCTCTGCTTCACTCTCTGCGCTCTCTTGGGATGGAGCTAGCCTGTTCTCCTTGGACTCTGTGGGACTCTTCCCCAACATCCAGGGGTTGTCTGGATCCATCCCACCATCGTTCACAACATCTGGGACAAGACCGTCCTCAGCTCCAGAATCATTGCCCCCTTCCTCACTCTCTGACCCCAGGGGCACTTTCTGTGTCAGCTCCTTGTTTCGGGCCAGCTGCTCTTGCATGGCCTGCCTGGCCTGGGGAAAGAGAGATGGCGTTTAAGAGTGGTTTGTTCACAGGATATGAATTGCTCAGAAAAGGTGCATGTGGGGGATGCCTTTACTTATCAAACCCACCCTAAATACAAATGTTAAAGTGATTTAAAGGCACTTCTATCGGAACAGCTCAACCTCTGGGGTGGATGATTGCCTAGCCTGCTTTATTCCACTCTGGATGTTTCTGGAGCACAAACGTGCTCTACTCAATTTCTACTCATTGGTCTGTGAATATTTCTATTTCTCCAAGTAAGATATTTTTGTATGCAACTTGCTCTAGCGTATGCATTTTTTTAAAAAAAATCTTGAGAACTAAATTTCAAAATGCAAAAATAATAAATAAAAAACACAAAACCCACAAGGACATTTGGGCTTCAGCTTGTGTACGATACCACGGACTGTAAATTTGGTTGTCTTGGAGTAAAATGGAAACCGACTACATTCTTCTCTGATCCCTACCGAAATATGAAAGAATCCTTTCTTTAAAATCTCCACCTCAACTTGAATTTTTCTTGGGCACCTGCCTTAGTTCCATAACGCTAGAAGAGTTGGAGGGCCGATGTATCTTATTGTATCGTATTTTATTTTATTTTATTACTCCTGTAAGCCGCCACGAGTAGACTTTGTCTAGAGGGGGGTATAAGTCCAAATAAAGTAAAGTAAAAGTAAAGATGACCGAACCCCTTCGGAGGCCACTACTTACCTCTAAGTTATATTTTGCCATGATCACGGTTGATTTGGCCCACTTGCCCTTGTTCTGGTGTTTCAGGCTCATTCTCTCCTGTTCAGAGAAATAAGGACGGTGTCAACGGAGGGGAGGGCATGCCCTGCAAAGTAAAGGAACTTCATTTCCACATCACAGGAAGAGGACGACCACTGACCGCTATCCGTGCTTTCTCCATCTTCTCCAGCTCCTCCAGAGCGGCTTGTGGGTTGGTTTTCTGCAGCATCTCAAACTCCTGAAGCACCTTGCGTCTCTTTCCTTTCCTAAGCACTTTGTGGTACCTTTAGGGAGAGAAGAATGGCAATCTCACAGGCTCGGCTGAACCAGCATGGAAAAAAGAGGTTCATGTGACCTGCAATAGTTCCTGATTAAAGGAAGATTAATAAAAATACAATAAATTAGAAAGCCAGGAGCGTGCAGCTGTCACAGCAATGCCTATGGCTTTCCAGGTGCTGCTAGAGACCAATAGGCAACGTCCTTGATCACTGGGAGGTTGTCTAGGCTGGTAGGGACTAGAACCCCACAATATAACTGGAGAGCCACAGATTCACCCTCCCAGGACCGAAATGTCAGTCAATGATTTAAAGACTTTGCATCCAAATCTCTACAGAGGGAGAAGCTTATCAAATAACTTTGGACCAGCGCCTCTCAGAACTGCATCAACGAAAATGAAGACAGCCCCTCCCAGCATTCTCCCAGGTGTCACTGTCCCACCCGCAAGGGTGGGGGATTCCGTGGGTGCAGAGGACGCTGGGAGTCTCACTGCCTGATGGGCTCCACAGAAGGCCCCTCCCAAAGAACTAAACTCCCAAACAGCGCCATAGCAGCTTTTGTTTTTGAAAGTAGACGTCAGCGATGAACGTAAATGGATCAGAAAACTGCAAACCTAGGTTTCTGGGCCACACCTCCCAGAATTCTGCCTGGGGAATGCCTTAAGAATTCTGGGGACTGCAGTCAAAAAATACTGAGCAGCACACCTCTAATAGGTACATGCATCTCCTGCATGGAGAGAGAATCATGCTGCTGCCCCTCCCCATCGCGCAAGCGTTGAAGATGGGGAGCTTGAGGCGGGGGGAAGAGTCAGAAATTCTAATTCAGCCTGAACTATTGAATAAGCAGGGATTCACACCCAAACGCTTAAGGATTGAGCTGTGAAAGTGTAGCTGTGCATGGCGAATCCAATTTATTTCCTTCCCCGTTTGAGTTTATAGCCTATTTCATGCCCCTCTCCAAATGCAAAGACATGGGTGGATTTCGTCAAATCCTTCTCGAACACAAACTGAAACCAAGTTCTTTCTGATCCCTACATAACACAGGTCCATAAAGAACCCAACTCCTTACTTTTTGCTCTTGATCTTCCGCGCACGCCGTGCTTTAGACTCATAGTAGGACTGCAGGGCCCGAGCCCTCTGGAGTTCCATCCGGCGCAGCCGAGCCTGAAACGCACATCAACAGAGGAGGAGGGCTGGATAGAAAGCGGGACCGAACAAGGCTGAGCCAAGCCCAAGAGGGTGGGCCAAGCACGGAAGGGGGCCAGGGCTAGGGTGGGCAGGGACTCACCTCTTCCAGGCTCATGGCCTGCAGCGAGGCCTTCTCCTGGGGCGTCAGGAGGGGATCCTTCACCGGCTGTTTCGCTTTGTGGAGGAGACTGAAGATCTCCTGCTCGAGGGGCGTACGTGCCTTAGGAGTGGCCATGGAAGGAAAGACAGGTATAAGATCAAGACAACGGATCACACAGATGTGCTATCGTTGAGAAGCAGGGATCCAACAGATCACAGTCCCAATAAAAATGATAATGATGTGCCCTCAAATCAGTTCTGACTTATGGCAACCCTCCCAGGTTTTTTAAGGTATTAAAAAGCCGCTTACCAGTTGCACCTTAGGATGGAGGTCTGGAACCACGCGCCTTGCCCAAGGAGGCACAGGGAATGTGAGCCCTTCCACCCACACACCCTCCATGGGATCTGAGGTGCTCTCTCTGCACAGGAGGCACCGCAAGAATTCACTCCCATTGGCTCTCCCTTTAATTGGGCCGAACATCACCATCAAAAAATGACAGCCCTGTTTATTCATTCGTCTAGTCGCACCAAAGCACGCCTTATTCAGGAGGTTTCGATCTGCCCCTCCTCCCCCCTTTTAGGGGAAACCAGGGCTCTTTTCACATTTATCTGCTACAATTTTATTTTGCCTCTCCACCTGTGAGCTCACAGGGGGCGACAGGGCCCTCCCTCCCCATCTTCACCTTCACCCTAACAGTTGTTCTTGGCGCCAACTCAACCCTCAGGTAGGGGCACCCATTCCACCAGCCTGTCTGAACTATTTCCATCCCAAACCAACGCTGTAGGTACTTTATGTCTTCAGAAAGGTTTTCAATAACGAAATGATTTCACTTATATTACAACTTTGCTGAGGATAGCTCACAAATGTTTCTAACGCACCCTTCTAACCAGACTGAAAATGAGAAAAACTAGGGTGTTTGCAATTCCCAGAATACTATCTTGGAAGGCGATATTCCAACAATTATAGTCCAAAAACTAACTTTCCCAATCTCTGAGGCAAACTTATTTCATTTCAACAGAAGTACAACAACATCAATTGATGATGACTAGTTCCCGGGAATTGTTGGCTCGGCAACATGAATGAGCTGGTCCTGCCCAGAGGATTTTTAATATACTCCAACTCACACACTGCTATTTCCAGATACAGTATGTTGATCACTGTTAGAGCAGACCCACTGAAATCAATGGGATTCACTTGAGGCATGACTGACTTAAAACCGTTCATTTTCAAAAACTTTAAACGAATTCATCTCTGTCTGGATTCTTCCTAATGTTTATTGGGCTGTATGCTATCCACATTTTTCTGTGGCACATTGGAAGAGTCACCTCTTTTTAAATAAACAGAAAGATGATGACGTTCCTCAGAATTCCCAACAAAGGTAACACAGTTCTTCCACCTCCCGATAGCAAGAGAAACATGACAAGTTCTAAGAAGAAGTGGCACTCCACAGATGCAGCCAGAGGGTGGCTGCCTTGGTACAAAGGAAGGCATACACAATAGAGGCTCATGGGAAGCAAAACAGCACAACATACAGGAAGGGTGGTGAAAGAGAAAGCTGTCGAACGCGCACAGTAATTGGAGGAAGTGGTTTGTTACCATCTTGTTCTTTCACTCAGCACTACCAGCAAGCAGTGTCACATAATGTAAACAACAGTTAAAGAATTATAAAAAATGTAACAATGAAATCCACACATTATTGCATCAATCTTAAGCCTTCTACTTAAAAAAAATCTTGAAGGCAAGAGTGGGAAACATGTTTGCAGTCTGCAAATCTCATTGTCCCTTGTTAATGCCTATGTTGGCTACAGTTACGTGATCAAATTTGCAGTAACAGCTCACCAATCTCTGGAGGGTCATGCGTTCCCCAACCTCTCCCGTCAGCAACCTCCTGACTCCTCTGAAGTTGAACATAAGTAGCAAGAGCTACATCTTTTCTTGGAAGTAGGCCTTGATATATTCAATGTGGCATGTTCCCAAATAAACATACATGATTGTGGCATCCTGCATCCAATATCCTATGAAAGCTGGCGGGATGTGGAGCCAGAGGTTGGGAGTCTGATTTTCCACTGTGCCTCCAGGGAGATGAGCCAGTCTGGGTGGCCTTGGGCCAGTTGCACAATTCCAGGGTAGCCTCAGAAGAAGAGAACATTAAGAATTCCAGGGTAGCCTCAGAAGAAGAGAACGTTAAATCGCTTCCGAGTATTCTCTACCTGGAAAACCCTGAAAAGGGTCACCATATGTCACAATTAATTTGACAGCACATTATTTATTATAATTTTCAAAAATGCCAGACAAAGTCAATCAAAATTGTAAGAACATTGACTGGTATTATATAACAGATACAAGCTTTAAACCAAAAACCTAAGTATCTGTTAAAAATCGGTGCTGTGTATCTGCTGTTCCTAATATTGCCGTTTTTCTGTAGCTCTGATGGTGTTATTTCTGAGATCTGCAACTGTTTAGAATACTGTGTGAAATTTCTTGATATTGTTCTCAAAGCCCTGATGACTACGGGGACCACTGATATCTATGGAATCATCGATGAAACTATGTCTCATCCACAAGTGATATGTTTCACTTGCCAGATCTCTGGATATTGTTAGTATTCCAATTCTTTATTAGTAGCAGTATTATTGATAATTTAAGCAAGATGTCAGAAGTCCAAATCAAACCCTCCAGCCATTGGATGACGGATGACAAAAGCTGCAATAAAACTGGCAATCCAGTTTACCCTAAACACCAAGGCAAGAGCACAGTGTTGCAGCTGGATCTAGAAGGGGCGCCATCTTCAAAGACCAACCTGCCAACTGCTGATCACTTCCTCAATAGGTGCGACGGCCACACTTTCCTGTTGCAGTGGGAAGATCAACTGCTCAGCACGCCTGTTTTCCTGCACCACGGGGTCCCATTTGGCCAGTGCTTGGGATGTTTGTGTGTAGGCAGCTTCCCTCACGACCTGCAGAAAAGACAGCCTGTCAATCTACAACTGTACAACTACACTGGATGGTGCCTTTACTCTCTTAGAGATACGGAAAAACACTGCTTTTGCAATCTGCCATGCTGAGGACTTCTTGGGTTGCAGATTTTTTTTTAAGCAATTTCTTGGAATCATTCTCTTTCCTCAATTACAGTGGACCCTCGACTTACAGACAGCTCCACTTACAGACTTTGAGTTGCAGACTTCTCTGGCTACAAAATTTAGGTTCGACTTACCCGGGAAAATACGCCACAGAGACGGGGGGGGGGGGGACACCAAAATGGAACAAAAACGGCCGGTTATGGATTAATCGGTTTTCAATGCATTGTAGGTCAAGGAGCCTTGACTTTTTGACCTGCAGCCGCCGTTTCAATACAGATTAATTCCGTAAACTGAGCGTCCACTGTATGTGCTCCAGCAAGAACTACAAATACCCATATCTGGTAGTAATCAAAGCCCCCGGAACTATACATACATAAATTCATAGAGAATAAAGCTACCAGTGGCAACTACTTAGAATGGATATACTCTAATCCAAGTAGCAAACTTATTTTGCATGCTAGATAGCAGTATCACATGCCACTAAATGACTTTAAATAGTGGTTAAGCTGCTGTACTGCACAGGGGTTTTCCAAGGCCGACTAAGGATTTGAACTCAGGTCTCTTGCACCCTACTCTGTTATTCTTCCCACTACACCACACTGCCTGCATAGTAGGGCTAGTGCTAAGCAATTTCTAGCCTCCCTAGATTGGGAGGGATTTGGATTCAGCACAGCTTCAGCTGTCCCGGGGGGGGGGGGGGGGGGCAATGTGTAGCCTGCATAATTAACTTGTAAACCACCCAGAGAGAGCTTGAAGCGCTATGAGGTGGTATATAAGCAGCACACTTTATTTCTTTGATCTTGTGAATGGGAACATTTTGTGCATGGAGTCATACCTTGGATAACATGGATAGATAATTCTATTTTTAAAAAGTACATAGGAATGGTATCTGGTTTTATTATCATCCTTTGCTACAAAAGGATGCATGATATTCAGAGTCCAGCTATAGAATTGTGTCATTTTAATCCAGGAAGGTGCCTTCCTGGATTAAATACAGAAAGACCTTGATCTGGATCAGACCAATAACTTGTCTCTATCAGCACCCTCTTCCTCACAACAGACAACCAGGTGCCTCCGTGGGAAGCCTTGCAGGACAGGAATGCAAGAGCTATCACCTTAATTACTTACATTATTTTTTTGTGATACATAATTTATAAGGACAGTAGTGACCTTGGGAAATCCACCCTGTGCCAGGTAGTGAGGGAAAACAGTAGCAAACTGCCCCCTCAAAAAAACTATTGCACTCCTGTACATTAAAAAGACCTTTCGCCACTCTCTCGTTTCTCATGGTAACTCCTCCCAAATATTCTAAGGCCAGCTTCTCCTCCAACCAAAACTACTCCCCCCAATGTTTACCATTCAATCCCTGAACTCACCCGCTCACTCTCCTCCTTGCTCAATGGGAGTTCAACAGCCTTCTTCTGCTGGGCTTTGTTCAACTGTTTCCGGATGGGGCGCAGAGCCGACAAGGCAGAGGCCGGCTGCAGCAACTCCGAGAGGAGCACTTTGTCATCAGCACCTATGACAAACGGTAGCATTTAATAACATAGGAACACAGCAAGCTGCCTGGCATCAGAAGAAATTTTACTTACCCTAGTGTTCTTTGCTCTGACTAGTAGCAGCTTTCAAAGATTTCCAGCAGAACATGCAAAGATTTTTAAGGACTAAAACTGCCAGAAACCTATAGTAAACATGGGGGGTTGTACTCCAAAAAAATAAGTTATGAGTTCTGCTTTTCCATCACCTGCTGCCTGATCCTTTTAATTGGAAAAGGTGAGAAGAGAGCTGGAAATGCTTACATCTGAAGAAGGCACTTCACTATTGAATTTTGTTACTAAGGATTTTAAAGAGGCAGATGGGTGGTGTCTTGGCCTCCCTCCTAGCCATGCTGATAGACAACAATGACTCTTATCCATCCCAGAAAATGACCATGGAATGAAACATCAGGTGAAAATCTCTCACCTCCACCAACATCGAATTCAGAGATATGCCTGCTTGCCTCAGACCTCTCAGCTGCTCGTCGCCTGGAAGAAAGGGATCAATCAAGTCAGGAATGGAAAGGGATGGCTGGCTAAATTCATTCTTCCAGTTCTCCTCACTGTGATTGCCAACTGGCTCTTTACCTCTTCCCTCCAGATAAAGCACTGAGCGTGTCCACAAGTTGACGGTGTTTCTTTGTTGTCTCTTCATCATCAGCCTGGAGAATAAAACAGTCAGCTTAAGAGTTTTTAATATAACCCTCCATCTAACTCTAATATAATACTTCACTGCACTTAATGGCATGAACTTTTAAAATTAAGTTATAGACTACCTTACATCCCTTATTGGAGGAAAGTGGGATACAGAAGGAGAGTGAGCATGACTGAAATTCATGAATGGCTGAGCCTAAGAACACATGAAGATTTAGACCAGAGGTTTTCAGTTTTTTGTTCTACAGCTGTTTTGGACTTCTATTCCCAGAAACCTCAGTCAGCACATCCAATGATAAGGATTCAGGGAGCAAAATAACTGGTGGGTCAAAGCTTGAAAACCACTGATATAGATTTAAAAAAAAAAAACTAATACAAGATCATCTCTGAACATACCATGTGTGTGCTATCAGTCTTAATATATAAAAAGAAGGAACTGACAGTAAATAAAAGCTGATTCGCTATCTGATCAGAACACAAATACTAGTCCTGGAACAGGAATCAGTCTCGGAAAAGGACCAAAACAAAATAACCAAAAACAGAGGAAAAAGAGGCAAAAGAGAAGTCATGATGCAGAGATCCATGGCGTGGAATTAAGAGAAAATTTTCAAGCGTCGCTTCGTAGGCTTAAGACAAAATCTGCTTTTTAAAATTCTTCCAGTGTTTGCATCTTTATCTATTTTATCACATGCCGGCTGTCCGTTCTTTTATCAAATGCTGCACAGTAGGTATTTTCATAAGAAAATTAAGGCAGTAATTGAACAATAGTCATCTTAAAGGGATGATCAGCGTAAGGCCACAATCCTGGGCTCACAGAAAGAGGCCTTTCCCGGGTCGAGGATCGCAAGGGGCTCATCGCTTGGCCCCGGGAGAGAACCGGGACGAGCCCTCAAGGAACCACCCCCCCCGACGCCTTTTCGTTAGAAACACAAGTGTTACGCGTTCACCTCCTGCTCCTCTTCATGATCGCTAATGGGCGAGACTTCATTCTTCGATGGCTCGTCCTCTTCCGTAGCCGCCATCGAGAGAGGGAAAAAAAAAATCACCTCACACCACCCACGAAACCCTTTTCCTGCTTGTTGTCCCAGAGGCCACGGAACCCCCACGTGCGGATCCGCGGTCTGGCAGAAGGCCGTAAATCGCCGCCGCCGGCGCCGTAAAGTGAGACAGCACTTCCGCTTTCGGAGCGACAGGCTTTTGCGGCCTTTCCTTTTCCTTACTCATCCACCCAGCCATAGGGGGCACTGTTGAGCTGCTTGGATGGCTGAGGCTGCGGGACAAGCTCAAAGCTGTATAATGATAATTCTCTCAAATCTATGCAGATTTATAATAGCTCTTAGTCCTTGCCTTTTGGCTTATGTTTAAATAAATAAATAGAATTGCAAGCTGTTTCCACACCGAGTGTTACTTAGCCTTTGGTCTAGCTGCTACTAGCAATTTCAATCAGAAGGCGGGGTTTGCTAAAGACCACGCCCCCTAGATGGGCGCGGCTTATCAGAGCCAATGACGTGCCTGCTTTCTTCCGAAGACCCCGCCTACCTTGTTTTAATCTATTGACGTCAGAAATCCGGACTGCTACCTATATTCAGGTAGCGGAGATGGAGTGGCGCCCCGCCCTCCATGAACTTTTCGACTGACGGCGAGGCGGACCAATGAGACGCCAGGACACGATCTTAAGAGGCGGGCCTGGAGTGTGAGCGAGCCAATGGGAAATGAAGTCTATTTTCTCTTTAAAAAAAAGAGGAAGGCAGAGTTTTCCTTTTGTAAGGTGCCCTCAGTTGAATCCCCTACGGTCACTGGAAGAGGAAGGGCCGGCCGCTTCCAGGGAACCGGTGCTCCTTTCTCCTCGCCTCAGAATCGCCCTGAAGAAGGAGGAGAGAGAGAAAAAAATAATCCCCCGGCGCCGCTGAGCCTCGCCCTCTTTCCCTCTCCCCGCCTGGATGTGAAGGAAAGGCCGCTCAGCCTATCAAGCCGCTCCCTTGTGGGTTAAGGCGGCGCTTAAAACACAGGCTGGCCAATAAGAAGCCAGGCTCCTCCCGCCCTCAGCGCTGCTCTGTGGAGAAAGCGAGGGGGAAAAAAAAGGCCTCGGGCGAGACCTCGGCCTCGGCGAGAGGCAGGTGAGCGGCAGCAGAGGCCAGCCGGCGAGGACGACGACGACAGGGGCGGGATGGAGCGGAAGGGAAGACCCTCCCAGGAGCCACCTTCTTGAACCAGGGTGTGTATGTGGGGGGCGGCGCCCTCCCCCTCCCCAAACGGTTTCCCTCGAGGGAGGGGTGCGCGCGCGCGAGGAGAGAGAGAGAGAGACCTTCCCTCCCTCCTTCCTTCTCCTCAGCGGGGGTGGTGCATGAGCGTACGAACCCCCTCCGAACCGCTCCTCTTCTCCTTCCCAACACCCTCGCCCCATGCTGCCGGGTGTCTTCCTCGAGCGGAGGTTCTACTTCTTCGTTTCTCCTCTCTCTCCCCCCCCGTCCTTTCTGGTGCACGTGAGAATCAGAAACACGCGTGTCAGGTGCGCCTGATTTCCGTGTGTGTGTTGGGAGGGGGTGATCGTTTCGGGGTGGGGTGAGATGGGGCGCAAGGTCAAGGAGCGCCCCGCGAGAAACAATAGGCGGCAGCTTGGCTGAGGCGAGGGCTTGGCAGCCATCGGGTTGTCAAAAAAGGGTGTGTGTGTGTTGGGGGGGGTTGCGAGATACGGCTGTCTTTTATTATAAGACTTCCTTATTGATATTGTTGTTAAGGAGCGGGAAATGGGTTGGACCGGGAGGCATCAGGGAGGAGCGGCCGCGTGAGGGATGATGAAAAAGAGGTCTTCATCTTATAATCGCATGCCTTTAAATGACAATAATCGGCCACGTAGCAATTGTTCTTGTTTGACTGCTCTTATTTCATTTGCCTGGGTAGAAATGTAAACATAAAGCAGTCCCGTGTGGGAGAGAGGCGAAGGGAAGGATCTTAAATCTGGCAATGGAACCAAAATAAACAAAGCAGGCCTCTTGGGCGGGTGCCTTTTTTTTTTTAATCAGAAAGAAAGGCAGGGACTCTCAAGTGTGTTCACATATGTGGATGCCAGGAAGAGTGATAGATTGCTTTCCTGCTTCCATCCCTAAACATGCCACCTGCTCCCCCAGGAGGAGAAAAAAGAAGCAAATGGCACATGATGAGAATCTCCTGCTTGCTCTGACTGAAGCAGCCCTCTCAGGATTTTTTACTCTGTGTAATAAACATGCTTTAGGGGGAGTGGCAGAAATTGGATGGTGGTTTTCTTGAATGGCTGCTGATGAGGCTGCAAAAGGTGGTGGTAATACTGTTTTTATAAATCGTTTTCTGACTTGACAACACCTGAGTTATTTTTGAGCCTTTTGACCAGAGTCCTGGGGAGGTCTCTTTCATTTCTACTACAATAATGGACTAGTTTTCATGTTATGTTGTTAGATCTACTCAAAGGAACCTTAGATGAAGAAGGAAAATGGGAGAAGCTGTCTTTAATTTTAGCAGCTTTTGGTTCTTCTGTAGAGGTTGGGCGGGGTTTATCGTTCTGGAATAAAGCACTGAGAAATTTTTTTATATGCTTTGATAGAAGTTCTGGGTTTGGTCCTGGGGCTTCTTGCTACAGAGTTCTGTGCCCTGTAGGATGCAGACTATTAATATCATCAAAGATGTGTATTTTGTTCTGGAAATCTATATGGCACTGTATGATGGTTTCAGAGATACAAGGCATATAACTATTATTTCCTTTTCTCTGTCTAGTTCACATTAACATGCCATTTGAAGCAGTCTTCATGCTGCTTTAGTTTTCAGAGCCTGCATGTTATTTACACTTGCCGGAGAGCTTTTCCACAGGAATGTTGACATGTACCTTCAGATCCTCACAGGTTATACTCCTTCAGGTTGCCACACCAAAGGAAGCCAGAAAACTTCCACCAGAAATCAAGCCTTCTTGGCTGTGGCACCAGCCCTTTAAAATGAGCTTCCAGTTGAGCTGTGCCTGGCTCCCTTCCTCTCAACCTTTAAGAGGTTGCTTAAGACAATGCTCTTCACAGAGCCTTTCCTCGCATGAATTACCACTTTGTGCTGCCTGTCCGATTATGGTTTGATGCTGTAGGGCTGTTTCTCTTATGATGTTTAGACTTGACTTGATTAGTGTGCTGTCATTTATTTTTGTTACTGTATTTGTTTTTATTTGTCTGTTAACTGCCCAGAGTAGTGTCTGTCGCTTATCAGCGGTATAAAAGTTTAATAAATAAATAAATAACTTGGTGAAGGAGAAGAATCTTAAGGAATACAACCACCGACAGATGTGTCTTGGGGCCCTTTAATCTCATTTGACAAAAGTCAGATGCTGATCAACTGCAAAGCACTAGTGCTACATAGATTTTCCTGCCATTGGAGGTTATGACACCTCATATTGTTTGCTTCCTGTTGGGCAAGTGTGGTGTTTTTGTCACTCATGAAGGTGATACGTAGTGAGTGGTTAAAACTACTAGGATGTGGGTGTGCCAAGAAGGATATGTCGCATGTCATTATAGCTGGGGTATTTTTTTTTAATGTAGCTCTAATTTAGTAGCTGTGCTAATTGATTTTTCTGTTTCTTATCTCTCCAGGGGTTGAGGCTGGATTTCTGAGGATGGTGTGTGCATCTTGGTGGCTTGTGTGGAGACTGGCCATTGCTCACCTACCGTGTCTTCTGTGAAGATTGCAGCCATGTCTGTGATGATAGCAAGGAAGAAGGTGACGCGGAAATGGGAGAAGCTGCCGGGAAGGAATACATTTTGCTGCGATGGGCGCATCATGATGGCCCGACAAAAAGGCATCTTCTATCTGACCCTTTTCCTCATTGTAGGAACGTGTGCCCTCTTTTTTGCTTTTGAGTAAGTTCACTGTGATTTTAAAAAAAAAACTTGTTTGTGGGGATGTTTCCAAGCATGGGGTTACTTGGTTGTTGGATCTCCAGTTCATATTCTGAATGGGTTGGAATGGATGTTTTTGTTCTTGTAGAGATCTTGTGGCTTTTAGAGAGTCTGTAGAGATGAGCACTTGCCCTGAGTGGTAATTTTGCCTCTTCTGAATGATTTGGTGAAATATGTTTCCTTTCTGGAATGCCATTGTCTTCAGAAACGTAGATTTAGTGTCTGCTGTTGTAGGGATGAAAGGAAGCAGTGATTGGTTTCAGTAATTTAATCCTGGAAAGTATTTTTGATGTTGTGCCTATAATACTTAATTTCATATTCAGTCAGTTTTTAAATTTTGACACAAGCTCGGTCATCCTGTCAATTTTACACAGTGCCATTTTGCCTCAGTCTCATGTGAGGTGTGAAGGATTGAAACACTTTGGAATTTACAGGGTCCTGTTCTAAAGTGGAATGTTTGCCCATGACTGTGATTGACAGAAAGGATATGAGGTCGGTCTTAGAGGTATGCAGTTCTTGTTATGCAACAATCATGAATTGCTATTAATTGGATCTTTCGCTTCACACACAGTATGAGTCACATTTGCAAAAGATATTCTGATTGTTATGGGCTATAAACTAGAAAATAGTGTAATAAAAGGTGGCACTGCAGTTTGCTTTCTGCCAGTTATGCTTACTGCATCATTTCTGAGAACTGTTGGCTTGCTCTTGAAATGAATTGTTCATTTAGCGAGTGGACTGTTTGGCAACACAGCTGTTCTGAAGCTCATCCACTCATCTCAGTGAACCTTGTACCCATTTGCTTACTCAGGGCAGTGGTACCTTGCTGAAAGTTGAAATTAGGATTGCCCCTTTGGAATTTTGCTTTAGTGTATAGTGTTACAGTTTAAATGTTGGTGGTATATACAAAAAGCGCTTTAAGTTAGTGAGGCTGGAAGTTAGTTTCTTCTCTTTATGTAAATGCACATGAAGATGTCTAACTTTAATATTAATGTTTTACTTAGTTGGTATGAAATCTGTCTAGGAGATGTTTAATACCTTATTTCAGGAGAGGACGACATCTGAGTCGATCATCTATACACATATTTAGAAAGCACTTCATATCATTAGCAAGCTTGTTCTAAATTGGAGCTTAAACTTGGTCCAGTGTACTTTCTGTTCTGAATGAGCTCTCTAAAGCCACTCCTACAGTACGTTCATCTGTGCATTTATTTGAAAGTTTGACTGCTTTATTATGATAAATAAATCATTGTAGAAGAAGTGGTTAACATGGATCCATGGTGTAGATTATAACCATGTGGTTTCATAACATATATGTCTAAAAAGGCTACTATAAAGTAGAGTGGTCCTCGCCCGACCAGATAGGCGGGATATAAAATAAATAAATAAATAAATAAAAAGCTATACTATATGCATGATACTGTCAGTCAATAATCCTGGATCTTTGGTGGCCCAAGTTACCTTTCTGCATTCCTTTATTGGCCTGTGTTACCTCAAGTATATAATGGGATCCTTAGGGCATTCATGAGGGTGACATTCATGAGGGTAATTGAATGATTCATCTGGCTTCTACTCAGTAGCTGTTGAGCAAAACTGGTTTCTGTATTTGCAGCTTTCTTCCTGCCAGCTCACCTTGTGCTCAGGCAGCTGCTATAAATTGAGGTGGATGAATTGGTCTGTGTTTGCATTTCTGATGTGTTGATTTTCAAAATCTGTTAGCTTAACAGCTTGCTTTGACAGTAGTTCAAAATGTAGTATAAACAAGATTGACACAAGTATCCTCAAAAACATACCTGTGAAAATAATGCTTCAGCTTTGAGGTATAGTGTAGATTTTGTTGTTAAATATTACAGTGGTTATAGACTGCTTTCCCCATAAGCAGATGCAGGAATACAGACAGTTTTCTTCCTGTTTCCCCTAATCCTCACAGCAGTCTGTTATGTCAAGGTAAGAGATGGTGACCTGCTCAGGATCACTTGGTGAGCCTCATGGCTGGGCAAGGACTGGAATGTGGGTTTCCTGAGTCGTATTCAGACATTTTATTTAAAATTCACAACAGTTTTGTTACACTATCTTTAAAATACAGTGAAAAGTGGTTCTCCAGTCCTCAGCTAGGAGTGACAGTTGTCAGACATGGCAAAATAACAATGAGCTAGAATATATTGTGATAAAAGAGAAGGTATATAGGACCCCTAACTTTCTCATTGAGGTGATACTTGTCTCAGTTTTCTAATAGGTGTTTGGTATGTGAAGGGTAAATTCCTGGTTGAACATTATCAACATTTTTCAAGCTGGTAACACATTTTTTGTGTGTGGATTGGTTTTCAATAGTCCAGGAATAACCTTGTACATGTGATTATGTAGAAGGCAGTCATTCATTTGATGCTTCCCTTGTGCATATTCTGCTGCTCCTTGTCATTACCTGGACCATTACCTGGAAAATAAAAAAGAGTGGGCTTGCTTTTCTGTTTTCCATCCAGACATTCAAAACAGAATTATGCTGGTTACTCCAGCACTGCCTATGTACACACACCAGACATTTTGCCTTAAAGGGCTAGTAATTCTTGAAATTGATAAAACCGAATGCAACCTCATGCCATATGTGTATTTGCCTAGTTGGTGATTCAAGAGTCTAAAAACATTTGCTGGTATATGAAAGAATATGCTGAAAAGGGGGCTTCTGATAGCACAACAGAAAAATGATTAAGAGGTGATTGTGTGTATAGTCTCCCTCTTTTTCTTTTTTGATATTATAAACTTCATAGTTGTGGAATCAGAGACCTCAAAGCCTTCCTTTTTTTCTCTTCCACTTGTCCTTTGGTTACTCCTTGAAAAGCGGCTCTTGTTTGTTAGTTCAAGGTCTGTTCTCTCTTCCACTCTCTAGCACCATTGGTTTCCTATTGCACTTCTCAAAGCAGCCTATTCTGTTCTGATCACCTGTAGTGTAGGGGAGTGTTTCTAAATAGGGAAACAGAAATCTGAATCCTGTTGCCCCTTGATACTTCTCTTGTATTTGCCCAAAGCACTGATGAATAAAATCTTGGCAGGCACCTCTTTACAGAGATACAACGGTTGAGGTAAGAACATGACATTGTGAAGGAGAAACTCAAGAGCTAGTGTACATAATTATTTAGCAACCGAGTGTTGATTGTGTTATACAGTAGCTATCTAACTTATGGGTGAGGGGTAGTATGATAGTGACTTTTCTTCTGGTGGAAACAAATGAAAAATGAAAAACAATATTATTATTATTTATTATTTATTATTTATTTAATTTATATCCCGCCTATCTAGCCAACTCAGGACCACTCTAGGCGGCTAACATGAGCTTTATTCCCAATTTAAGTGGAGTTATGAATAAAAGTCTAGAATGTTCAATGCCTGAGCCTTGCTTCTTAAAAAACCAAAGTAATGCCAACAGATTGGTGGAAATCTTAGCAAGATTCATTCAAGGTGTTGTTGAAGGATTCTTTGGGTAGAGTAGTCTTTACTGAATGTTCTCCTAATCACAGTTATATTGTGTTTGCATACAGTATTTAGAATTGAACTGGGGCTAGAGATCCATGAAAGAGGTCATTTTTAGTCAAATATTAAATTTGTCTGTAAAAAGCAATTTCTTGGGGAGTGGTGCATTTTTTGATGTCTGTTCTCCTAACAAACAAGATCAATGGGATGTAAGACTTATTTACCTGCAATATTTGAATGCCTCCCAATAATTTAAAGGTCTCCAGGCAGTTTAGAGTAAATAGGTATACACTTAGGTATTTCCTGACCTTTGGTTTTGGACTTCATCTCTCAGACCCTTTAAATAAGATGGTCATGGATTGTGGGAGGTGAAATCCAAAATATTGGTCGAATTAATGTTTGATGATGATTTAGATATAAAAATGAATATCAAAACAAAAGCAGCTAAAATACAACAAAAAAGAAAACATGTAGCAACTTCAGATTTAAAAGATAAGAGTTTAAAGCAGTGAGGCCACAGAAAGTGAGTTATTTAAAAAGTCTGGGTGAACAGGAAGGTTTTTCATCTGCCACCGTCATGCAGGTGTGGCATCTCTCTGGGAAGCTTTTCCTTAACTGGAACTGTTGAGAAAGTCTTCTCTCTACTAATATTTCTCAGTGGAACACTTAAGAATAGGGCCTCTGGCAAAGATCTTACGGTTCAGGTGAAGCAAAGGTGGCCTTTCAATATAACCTACTCTCAGGGCTTAAAATATTTAAATTGTTACATTAAATTAGCCCAGAACTGAATTTTGATGAAACATAGGTATATTATGGTCAAACTGTCCATTAGGGATCTGATCTGGCAGATCTGTTTTAGATTAGAGCAGTTTGTGCTTAAAAGACATTCTTCGATCTGGGTTCGATCTTACAACGGCTGGTCTTTGACCCTGCAGCACAGAGACCTCTGCGGTTTAACCCGCAGTACCACCACGTCCCTAAAAGACACTGAGATCATCTCAGTAGGAACGTAACTAGAGTGTGGGTAATTGTGATCAACCTATCTCTGTCCAAGAGAGGAGCTAAAGTAGTAGCTGAATCTGCTATGAGGCACAAAGTTCTCCTTGGCCTCTAAGGACCAACATGTACCTCTTTATAGCAAATCTGATATTTTAGAGCAGGGGGGAGACTACCAGAAAATGGATGGTGGCAGTGGGGGCTCAGAACTGCCAATGGATCTTGGAAGGCCATATCCTATCATCTCTGAACTACTTTTCTTTAAACATTTTCTAAATTTAAAAAGGTTACTTATGCCTTCTAGTGGCCCCAAGGAGGGGAGTGCTAGTGGGGTAAATTTTGGTAAAATTATCCCCCTGCTTTCTAGAGGGCACAGAGGGATTTTTCTGGGCAAAACATTTAAAAAAGTTTAGTTGGTGAGGCCAGACGTGCTGATGGCTTGTGTGGCTCCATGGGACAGTCGTTGCCCACCCTCTTTTTGAGAAGTACAATCTTATCTA